GCTCCTCCTCCTCCTCCTCCTCCTCCAAGACAATATGCTAAACAGCCTATACAATCACATTCCCGGGCATTTCTGCTTAGTAAACAGACTGGGTACAAATAAACAGGTGACTTCCTGTCGACGAACACAGAGTTAGCCCTGTATCTGCTGAAGTGTTTTAACTCGCTACCCCCCACCCCTCCCCCCCCCATAAGCCCCCCCCCCCATGGCCCAAGGAAGGGCACCAACTCATGTGCTTTGGACATGCGCAAAAGACAGCCAAAAGCGAGGGAATCGAGAGATATTAGGCAGGAAGGAGAGATGACGGGGAAATCGGAAAATACCAGAGTGAGCCAGTGGTTGAAAAGGTCGGAATGGGATCTGGGAGAGGCGGGTTCGAATCCCCGTTCTGCCCTGGAAGCCCGCTGGGTGACCTTGGGCCAGTCACAGCCTGCCCTACCTCCGCCGGGCCATTCGGGTTTGGCTCGGCCTGGAACTGGAAGCCTCCTTTGACCTCCCCCTCACCTAACCCCAGCTGCCGTCGGGGCTCAGACAACCGCGGCAGCTTTGCCCCAGGGAGGGGAGGGAAACGGGAGAAGGGGGTTCATCCAACACCCGGGGGGGGGGCTCGCTCAGACAACCGCGGCAGCTGTGCCCCAGGGAGGGGAGGGAAACGGGAGAAGGGGGTTCATCCAACACCCGGGGGGGGACCTCTGCCAAGCACCTCCTTGGCAGAGCCTCTGGGCTGCCCAGCCCGTCAGCTGCAGCGGGTGGCGAGTGGCTCCTTGGGCCGGCAGTGCCAGGCAGGGTTCCCTCTAAGCTGAGTCAGTGTGAGCCAGCTCACAGTTTTTTAGCCTCTGGCTCAGACATTTTTGCCTTCGCTCAGAAAGGAGGGGTCCAGAGCAAACTGATTTATGCAGCAGCCAAATCACTGGCTCACAGCTTTAATGCCAGTAGCACACAAAGTAGAATTTGTGCTCACAAGACTCCAGAGCTTAGAGGGAGCCTGGGTGCCAGGGAAAGCCACCCCGTCTCCCACCTCGCGTGCTGTCGCCAGAGGCGCCCCCCTTCCCTCCA